TTGCCCGGAGTTTTTGGAAGTTCGAACAAGGGTTCTATAAGTGTGGCTAAGTACTATTTTGGTGATGTAATATAAAGTAACTTCTTTTTCGTTTACTATCGTACTCGTCTTTAAAGTACGGGACTTTAATCGGTAACGGATCTTATTTTGAACTCTATAATATATATTGATCCGTTTATGTTTATGAATATTTCGTATATTTCGTGCTTGAATCTTTTATCGCCAAAATATTTCTAAACTCTAATTTTAATGTCGAACCTATGTTTTATGATAGTGTAGCACTCGATTAATCTCCTTCAAAATATAAAAATATATATATAAATATAATCGACTAAAGCTTTTCAAAACAATGTTGCGAAAATTAATAGAACTTTAAGTATGGTTTTAAAATCAAAAGTGTTGATTTTCTTTGAGATCCTATAAATTGCTTCCGCTAAATAACTTAATTCCGATAAACCGGTTCGATTTATCGCCTATATTAGAGGGGGTGCTACATTCGTAGAGATATTCGTATGTCCGACGCCTCAACTTTCCGCCAACTCGTAGACAAGGCACTCATGGCTGCCCAAGACGAACGAGACATTCAAAACAGCCGCCGACCACAAGGAGTTACTCAACGACCGTGGAAAAAGAACAACTTTGGCAACCGTCCATTCCGAGGAAAGGGAACACAGCCCATTCGCCAAGCAACCGGACCACCGCCACCGCCGCCAAGGCCAACCTGCCCAAAGTGTGGGAAGAGTCACTCCGGAGAATGCGTGCACGGAACAAGGAGTTGTTTTCGATGCCATCAGCCCGGACACATGGTGAAAGATTGCCCGAAACCCCCACCGAACGTCCCCGGTGGAGTGTTCGCCATGACTCAAGAACAGATCGAGCAAGACCCGTCTATGATAGCAGGTACCATATTTATCCTCGAAGAACCCATTTACGCTCTTATCGATTCCGGCTCTACTCATTCCTTTATATCGAAAGACATAATTGCGCACTTAAATCTCGAACCAAATCGATTAAACTACGAATACCGAATCCTCATTCCCTCTGGCGAAGAGATGTGCTCTAACCTAGTCATA